ACAACAAATATTCAAATGCTCGTCCTCTATACTGTGTATAGATTTAGATATCGTATATGTAGGCAATATTTTTTGACTTAAAAATACCCTGGACTTAGGGAGTTGATCAAAATCCGACCAGTGGTTTCGGCCCGGTAACCGCGGAGCTCCACCGATTAGCTTTTAATTAGGACACCCGGAAACGTAATTCGGAATATGAGCAGATTCAAGTAGAAAATGTAACTGCCAAACGTGCGTGTTTGAAAAAATAATAGAAATTGATTCAAAGTTCAGGCAACCGAAATTCCTGTCCTGTGTATATTCACGCAGCTAGACCTGATGGTTTAAAAAATGAATCGCTGCGTAGTCATGATGTTATGAATTAAAGCGTTATATGATATTGTTACTACAAGTAGGGAGTGACCATATATTATTCCTGAGGGGGTCAGCATATTTTCCAAAGCCACAGGGATTTTTTATCAAGGCTGAAGAGGGCGGTATATTTTTCTCTTAAAGATTGAGACACATGTTTTTTTACTTTACGCCTTTTTTTTATTGAACACAAAATAAATACATAAACTGAATATTTTTAAAAATATATTAAAATAAAAATATACATATAGAAAGTATTTTGTTAACAGATGTAAAATAATATATATCACAAAATCAATCAAATCTCTTGTGTTTAAAATATGTGTAAATATAATTAAAAGAAGTATCCATTATTGCAAAACAGGTCTTACTTAAACCTGACAATCCATCTACACTGCCACCTAAACCATTGGCAACAGACCATCACCAGGAGCAACATTCTCATTGCCACCAACACAAGTGGTATTAGACGCAATACGATCACTAGTGACAATATCATCACTACCACCTACACCACAGCCCCACTGCTATCACCAGTAACAACATCCTTATTACACCTGCTACCACTACATGTGGGCCTACCAACATCATCACTATCATCCACATGACACGCATCAGCCCCACTGGTATCACCAGTAACACAATCTTCATTGCCACCAACATAAGTGGCACCAGTTCCACTCCTGTCGTCACTACCACCTACATTACAGACATCAGAATCAGACATTGTGGACCAGGAAATAGGCAACAACAGCAGTGAAGAAGATGAAAATAGTGACAGTGATGACAGTGCTACGTTAGAACAGACTGTAGTAACCAGGTCTGGACGACAACTATGTCATGGAAAACTCGCATTGATAAAAGTTATTGCACCAAAAATTCGATTGATTTCACATCATTTTGTACCTAGACATATCCTTATTCTCTTATACAACTCCTTACTTCTTCCACACATTACATATTACCTCGAAATCTGGGGTAATACATATGCAACGCAACTTTAACCAATATATCTCTTACAGAAAAAAAATAGAACGCCTCTTCACTTTCTCATGCTGCTCCTCTTTTCCAGAAACTAAGAATACTAGACATATTTTAATTTGTCTTTGATCTCAGCAATAAATATTTTGTACATGATATTTACAACTATTTGGACCAATCGTCCCAGAATTATCAAACCCGCTTAGCCTATAGCTTGAATTAGTATACTCCAAAACTGAACCAACACAGTCTAAAATACTCTACAACAAAACACTGGAACTCACTGCCTGTTGCATTTAAAACCCTAAAATACATGAAATATTGCCCGATATATATATATATATATATATTTATATATATATCTGCGCATGTCTGCCACGCGTGGCGAGTGCTCTTCAAAAACACGGTTTTTTGCCTCAAATAGTTAGTAAGTTACTACTATTTTTGTACTACTAGTATCTTTTTTGTTAATACTCACTACATACGTACGCTTATTTATTTTGATTTTACGGTATAGGTCTACCGTGTTTTAGTTTGATTTTGTTTTTCACTTTCAGTTCGCTCGTCGTGGGGCCTTTCCAAGATGGCGGCCTCCACGGCGGGTACACGTGTCAACCATTTTGCAGGGTTGACACGTAAACACGGTCTCAAATGTGAGTCGATTGATGGGATTTCAATTGAAACCTATGTTAACAGTGTTTCGTCTATACTCAAACCTGCTTGTATTATTGCTGCCTCTCGTGCACACGGAAGTGTCATAATTTTTCTGGATTCGATCAACGCTGTTGAAACTGTTTGCACTACTGGTCTCTCAGTGGGAGACTGCTTCATTCACGTACAACCACTCATAAAACCCGCCACTAAAGTGATTCTTTCGGGTGTACCACCCTTCATACCCAATCACGTTCTCGAAACTG